TGAGGCAAGAGGGTCACAAGTTTGAGCCCAGCCTGGCCACCTAGTGACTTAGCAAGACCCTGTCGCAAAACAAGAAAAAAGGGTTTGGGGACGTAGCTAAGTGTGAATCACCAACACTACACACACACACACACACACACACACACACACACACACAGCACCATTCCAAGGCCACCCCTTGCTCTGTTTGCTTTGCCCTCCAGCTCTGATAAGGCCTGATGGCGGTCAGTGCTCCTTGTCCATCCTCCTCATCACAGCCCCCTGGGACAGGACTTTGTTGATCTCATTCATCGCTGTACCTCAAGTGTCTGCCCCTCCAAAGATGCTCAACAAACATTGACAGGATAAACAGATGGAAGAATGTTCTTGTGTGTGCATCTTGATACTGTCCTGTGCCAGGGTTGGAATTACAGCCCTCTCTGAGCCTCAGTTTCTTTATCTGAAAACAAAAACAAAGCCAATCACAAAGGGGCTGAGTCAACAAACCCAGCCAATCGCTAGAAACCCCTGCCCTCTAGGGGGCGCCGATGAGCACCACGTCCCCTCCTTTCTCCCTGATTTTATCACAGCAGGGAAATGGGGCCATTAGAGCTTGGGTAGCAGCAGCAGGGTTCCTGTTCCCAAACCCCAACCCCGGCTGGCCTCAGGGTCACCCAGCAAGCAGAGCAGAAGAAACAAGCTGGGAACTTGGCTGGGTTTATCTCCTGCCTTCCCCACAGGAAGCCCAGGGCATGCACATCTGTAGCCTCATTGTGGTGAGAGCAGAAATGGCCTGGAGAGAAATAGGACCCATCCCCACCCCAGCAAGGCACACTGACGGCCCTGGCGGAATACAGAGGATAGGAAGAAGGTGAAAGAAGGGGGGAAAGGAGAGACAGAGGGAAAAAAAAAAAACCTGAAAGACACTTTGCTGTTCAGACAGGGTCTCACTATGGAGCCCAGGATGGCCTCGAACTCACGGTGATCCTCCTGCCTCAGCTTCTGAGTGCTGGCATTACAAGTGTGTGCCAGCATGCCTGGCTTAAAAGACACATTTTAAACTAGAACCAGACATATATATTTTGTTAAATGACTGAATGTGAACCAAATCAGAGCTTTCCATGGGACTCTAACCAAATTGCCACTTCAGTCCAACCCAGAGAGTGAGTGAAGCCAGGCAGTCTGTCTGCCTCTCTCCAGTAACCCTTCAGCAGACAACCATTTCAGAAGGTTCTTCTGCAAAGCTCAACCTGCTCACACACTGCAGATGTGTGTTAGTGGGGTGATTCACCACCTCAGTGCTGAAATCCAGAACATCGCTAGTAAACAAGGGCAAGCTGGTCACTCTAGATCCGGTGTAGTGGGTTGAATCGTGGTCCTAAAGATATCCCAAATCCCCAGAACATGTGTGTGTGTGTGTGTGTGTGTGTGTGTGCGCGACCTTCTTTTTAAAAGACTTTGCAAAGAAATAAATAAAAAGAGTTTTTGTCAGTGTAATTAAGCTGAGGCTTTCGAGGTGAGGTCATTGTTAGCCATTTTATGTTGCTGTGACAAAGTTTCTGAGATAAACAACTGTTATAGGCAGGCTTTACAAGGGGAAAGATTCAACGCAGGACACATAATTTATAGGATTACTTAATAATAGTTATGCAAAGGTCAAATGCAAAGAGTGCGGGAAATCTGTCCACACGCTAGTGACCCAAAGAATCCAGCAGACAGCCTGGATCCCTCAGCAAGCTCCTTCACGAGTTCAGTTGGAGGCCTCGCGCCCACTATCAAGGATCTGCACTGGGAAGGCCCAAAGGTCAGTGGTGGAAGCTAGAAAGTCTGCCCCAGCGGGGTGAAGGAGCTGGGCCAGCGGCTGAGGGATCTGCACTGGAGCCAGGAAGTGACGCTCAAGGCAAGGAGCAGAGCTCCCCTAAAAGGAACCACAGCCCTCCTCAGCGACACCGAGGAGCCAAGCTGATGATGAGAACAGCTGAGTTCACATAAATAAACCAGCACAGTAAGCTTCTCCAGGAGATCACCAGCACACCATCTTTCCCTCAGGGTCTCCTGTTATGCTGCTGGCCACAATCCTCAGGCGGGCCCTCCACACCACGCACCACGCTGATTCAGTTCAGCTGGGTGTTTCAGGTTGCCCATTATTTAATTCACCACAACAACCTAAAAGGAGAGAAGGTTTATTTATTTATTTAACTTTGTTTTGTTTTGTGGTACCTGGGATTGAACTCACAATCCCGCGCTTGCCAGGCAGGTGCTTATACTGCTGAGCTAAATCCCCAGCCCATGGGAAGGTTCGTTTTGGCTCGAAGGGTACAGGTCTGAGTCCAAGGTTGCTTGGCCTTCTTGCTTTGAGCCTGTGGGAAGCGGAGCACTGTGGTGGGCACATGCAGAGGAGCCACGCTGCTCACCTCATCCAGGAAATGGAGAAAGAGGGAAGGAGGGAGAGAGAGACAGAAAGAGAAAGAGGAAGGGGCCTGGGTCCCAGTGTGGCCCCTTCAAGGGACACACACCCAGTGACCTCGCTTCCATCTGCAAAGCCCTGCTTCTTAACGTTTCCATCGTCTCCCAAAAGTTCCATGGTGTGGGGCCCAAACCTTGAATTCAGGAGGCTTTGGGGTGGACTCCAGATCCAAACCATAACAGGCACCCTGGCTTATCCAAGTGCGACCTACGTCCAGTGGCAGATGACCTTACTAGAGACAGCAGAACGGAAGACGTGGGCGTTCAGGAGAGAGGCTGCAGAAGACAGAGACAGAGGCTGGAGCGATGGGACACCGGGAGGGAACCACACCAAGAGCTGGGAAAGGCAAGCAGGGCCCTCCCCAAAGCCACAGCCGGAGCACAGCCTGCCAGTGCAATGACCGGCCTTCTGGTCGCCAGAACTGTGAGAGAGTAAGTTTCTGCTGTTCAAAGCCACCAAGTTTGTGGCAGTTTGTTACACCAGGCGAAGGAAACCGATATAGAAAGTGTAGAAATAGAAGGCAAGCCAGTTACCAGGGACGCTCAGGATGCTTTTCAACTTGCTCTATCTTTAATAACATTACTGAACTACATTTCTGGAGGAGATGTGGTGTGTATAGATTTCTAAAAATACGAATATCATCCCCAAGTTTTGCATCTATTTAGCTTGTGTAGAGCAGGTAGTGTGTGTCCCTGCTGTCCCCACTCACCGGAAGGCTGCCGGACAGTGCCCCGTCTCAGTCTGCGGCTCCCGGCTCTGCGGGGAGACGGCGCCGAGCCGGGCACAGACCGCGCAGTCACCCTGGGATGGTTCCTGTGGTGTGCGAGCTAGAAGTGGCCAGGCATCAGTGTGCCGGGGACTGAACCAGGTCCCCTTTTCTGAGCCTGTTCCCCAAATTTCAGTCTGGGTTTCGGCTAGATATGCATTCAAACTTTTTATTTTATGTCATTCCATTTCGTTCATTTATGTGACCTGGTACATTCTCTTCCAGCAGAACGTTAGCTGAGGCTCCTTAGGAATCAACTCGGACAGAACCCCTGTGGGTGGGCTGAGTCTCCTTATGTCCCCAAGACAGAGATCTGCAGAGCAGACCTCCCCCAAGAGGGTGGCCCCTTGCTCCCTAGTACAGAATCACAGTCATAGTGGGTCATTATTTTTAATGAGTGTGCTTCTTAAAAATACAGTTATTTCATGTACCTGCTTAAACCCTTCCCTGTTGACCGTGTGATCCTAGGATCAGATCCAACCCTGTTCTGTTTTAAATCTATGTCCTCCCAAAGCCTCGTGGATTGAGAGGGGGGGTTTTGGAAGGTGATTGGGTCATGGGGTACCATGCTCATCAGTGAATTAAACCTCAGCAGAGGTCAGAGCTGCCTGCGCTGTTAGTTGGTGGGGCCTGATCTGAAGAGCGGGTCCCTGGGGATGGGACCTGAAGGGGCTGGCTCCCCGGCTCTTCCCTTTGCTTCCTGGGTGCCATCGCCCCCTGCTGCACTGTTTCTGCCTTGGAGTCAGCTAACCAGGGACTGGAACCATGAGCCACAATAAACCTCCATGTACAGGTAATGGGTACTTTTTTCCAGAGATGAAAAGTGACCCAGATAACCCATTCCCAGGATCCGTGAGTCCTGCTTCGGTGAAGGGCAGCCATGAGAAGACCCCTCTCTTCCTGCCCCACTTCCCTCCTTTCTGTTCTGGACTTAAGCAAGCCCTGCCCTGTCGCAGGACCTTTGCACTTGCTGCCCCTACTTCCTGAAATGCTCTGAGGGCAGTTCCTTGGGCTGTCTCTACCGTTGGTCTCAGTTTAACTGTTCTTTCCTCAGAGAGGACCCTTGACCTCCACTCTGAAGTGGCCACTCCTCCCTTGCCTCTAATTCACTGTCTTGTCTCGTCTCCAACGCATATCAAAGCTGCCTGCCTGTTCTGCTGCATATTCATTTGCTTGTCTGATGACAGCCTTTCCAACCAGAATGACTCCATCACACAGGCAGGGAGCACAGCTGCCCCATTAAATTCCAGATTCCAGGACTTAGAATAGCACCAAACATCTGAGGGCTCAGAAAGCATGACTTAAATAAGCGCAGTAATAAATACATGAATGAATGCACTCTGGATTTAGGAAGAGGAATTTTTTTAAAAAAGCAAAAAACCTCTTGTGTTTCACAGAGCACAGCTGGAAAGCTCAGAAAATTGTTAATGGTTGGCAGTAAGCACTGATCCTCACACAGTCCCTGGGTCAGCGGTGGCTCAGCTGACCCAGGCTGGGGGCGGCGGAGTGTGGCTGCAGGTCTGGGTGGGCTCAGGACCACCCTGTGCGCGCAGTGCAGGAAGACGGCGGGTCTCCTCTGGGCAGATCCCTGGGAAGAGGCGCAAGCTGGCCTGAGGAGCACATTTCCTGCCTTTGCCTCGTGTGCTCTGCCGACGTCCGACTAGGTGAAGCCAGTCCAGGGGAGACACACACTGACTAACAGGGCAGGGACAAGGTAGGGACAGGAGGTCTCTGTTTCTGCTGAGCAATAATTCAGACTATTGCAAAACTCACAACTGTAAGCAGTGATTCCACAAAGCAAAGTTTAATGCAGGATGCGTATTAACTACCTGAACACGGAGGGGACAAAGACGGAGACCGAGATGCTCGTATCTGTACTGCCCTGGAGGAGTAACCCTACTGGCGGCAGGTGGGTCTGGTGCACATTCTAGCTTCAATTTCAACTTCACCCTGCAGCTGCTGCCCTGGAAGGGAGCCCCTATCTTTTCACATGTTATTGTAGGTCGGGTGCCCGCTGCTGCAATCAAGAACTCTCACTGGGTTGTCTGGAATTTCTAGATCAGCCTGGCAGAGAAAGGAACGAGACAGGCTGTGCTTGGGCAGGGGAGGTGGGGCACCAGGCTCAAACACAGCTGTGGGGCTCGGTGTCCCCCAAGCAGCCCCTTCCCAAACCTCAGGTCCGGGCAGGGATGCGGGGATCCACTTCCTCTGACGGGGTGCTGTGGGGTCACCTACCACCGCTCCCCCAGCATGGTGAGACGCTCCCTGCCTCTCTCTAATCATTTTTGGTTCCCAGTGTTGCTTTGCAGTAAGGGGGTGCTGGAGAGAAGTCCACGGTCAGATGTCAGGTTGGCGGTTACCAAATCTTAGCAGCCCCTGGGGACGCAGGACAGTCCAGAGGCATGAGCAGTTTCAAAAGAATCAGTTTTCAGGTCCTCACAGGACACGTGGGCTCTGTGGGCGCTGCTCTCCCACATCCTCTTTCGGTGACGCTCTCCTTCCTCCCTGGGAATGCACGGAGCCAAGGTCAGGCAGGCAGGGCTGCGGCGGGCAGATGGCACGGGCTCCTAGGCTAATTTGAAGGTGGTTTCATGAAGGCGCTATTTAAAACCTGTGGGCAGGATGAAGGGAAATTAACAAAGCAAAGTGCAGGGCCGGGGAGGGGGTTCTGGAAGCTGGGGACAAACGCAGGTCCCAACAAGGAGCTGCGGCCTGCCGGAGGGAGGGACACAGGCGGGCTGAGCTGCCCCGCAGCACTGACCCCGCGGGAGGAAGCCCACGTTTCACTCGCCCTCCACCTGGCCCCCTGTCGATGTCCGCTCCCGGCCGGCAGGAAGGACACACGACAAAGTCTGGCAGTGGACAACCTTTTCTTTTATTTTCCTTCTCCGTACAGCCTGCCCTGGGATCGCTCCCAGCCGAAGCCTCCTTTGGTCCGCTCCCCGCGGCTCCTTCTGGGCTTCTACTTCCGGGCTTCTTCTTCTCCCCCAGGGGTGGCACCAGTATATATACGGATACAGTGTCCAATCATGTTAAAGTAAGCAAGGCAGGCTGATTGGCTAACATCATCAGTTGCCAGGCAGACTATATTGTTGAGCGGGTTGCTTACGCGGTAAGCAGGAAACTAACGTGCTCGATGGGAGGGGTAATCTACCTCAGGCTTTGTTCTTTACTACAGGCCTCACGTCCGCCAAGTGAGGCGACCGGGCTCGGGGCTGTGGCTCCCAACAGCCCCCCTCGCCTGCTGGTCCCCCCCAGCCCTGGAGCCCAGGGAGCTCAAGGGGTGCGGGCGGGCGTTCAGGGAAGGCAGACACAGGCAGCTCCCCGCTCGGGCTGTTTGTTCTTTATCACACGACAGTGTTCATCCAGGCCTACAAGAATTAACTGTAAAAATAGCTCCATTGTTTGAATGTCCACTTTGTGTGCTTTAATTTTGTAACTTGAACAGCTATTTCTAAGAGTATGTAATTTGTCAACTAGTGATTTCTTAAGTGTTTATTTCATCTTATTTTTTTTTGAATTTTGTATTATTACTTCCTTTTTTTTCTGCTTTGCTTTTTTTTCTTTTTAAATAAAAAAATTTTTTTAAAAATAGCTCCATGACGGTTATACCAGTCACCACTGCAATAACTAAATTTCAAACCTTTCTGGTTCACAGACATTAATGTTCATTTATACATATTTTGGTTGCAGTGATGATCACTAAAATATTCCTATTCTAAAGATAAACACATAATACACTCCCATCAAAATCTACCAGGGAAGCGCACTTTTAAAGAAGAAATGGAGTAATGTGAATTTCCAGTGTTAGAGCTGAGTTCTTGTGTTTTTTTTTAAGTTGGTGATAGTAGATATTGATCCTTATGTTATTGAGTTTCCACTGGACACACTGTGGAAGTGATGCGAATTTTCTTTTCAGAATATGAAGAAAATAAAAATGCTGTGGTGATTTAAACTGATGATAAAGAATTCAGTGTTAAACAAACACACGATGGGGTACCTGGGATTTTAAAGGAGGGTGATGCGCGCTGTCATTTGGGGTTTGAATGCCTCCCAGATGCCCGTGTGTTGAAGGCTTGGTTCCCAAAGTTGGCACTCTCAGGAGGTCCCCAAAGTTGAACATCCGGAAGGTGGGGTACAGTGGGAAGTCCTTAAGGACAGAGAACATCCCCTCTAAGCCACCGCAGAGCCCCAGCTCCTCCCCGTGACATTTGGCTTCCTGCCCTGAGGTGCATGATTTTGTTCCACTGCACACTCCTGCCACAATCGCCGCCTTGCTCCAGGCCCAAAGCAAGAGGGCCGCTGGGTCATGCACTAGCACCTCCAACAGCGTGGGCCAAAGCAAACCTTTGCTGTTTATAAGTTAGTTACCTTGGGTCATTAGTTACCTGATGGCCGGAATGCGTCAACAGTGATTCCGCAGGACTCGGCAGGGCCGGGTGTTTATGTAGGCTTCACTGTCTGTGGCTGAGAAAGCAGGAGACAAAATAAGATGAGAATCTAGGTGTTGTCCGGGTCCTTAACATGCTGTCACGGGAGGAAAATGTGGCTGGGTGGGCCCAGAAGCTCTTCTACGGGGGAACAGAGACTCATCCAGGGCTGGGGGTGGGATCTGCACATATGAGGAAAAGGCCACCGGAAATTTGGGAAGTGGAAAGTCGTGAAGTCCTGAGAGCCCCTGGTATGTGACCAACGACAATCTGTTATGCTATTGACCCTGCTGTTTTCCAGGGTCCGGGGCCAGCACTAAGTTCCGGTTCTGATCCATACCCACATCTCCCTTTGCCTGTGTCAGTGCTCCCGCTCTCTCACTGAGAGGCAAGGTCATCACCACCACCAGCTTACAGAGGAGGCGAGGAGGTGGGGTACATACCACGCCCAGATTCCACGCAAGCTGCTGGAAGTCAGGCTTTTGAAGCCCAGCCCTCCCATCCCTTAGCCAGTGCGCTGAGACACTCACCTCACTTTTGTTTGTTTGTTGATCACTCAGTCATTCAGTGTTTCATCATGAGGCCAGTGAGCCAAGGAGCTCTGGCCGGGTGCTGGGCAAGGTGGGCGATCGCTCTGTGCATCTCAGCCATGGGAGAGCCGGGGCTTATTCCCTGGTGGAAACTGTGTGTAGGCCAAGTCTCCCCTTCTGACGTGGGCAAGATGGGCAACTCCTCTTTCAGAAACTTAGAAGGTCAGCCTTGTTCTCGCCGCTTTTGTCTCCCTGATTCTTCCGTCTCGGGGCCCAGCTCCTCTGTCCAGCCTGCCCCTGCCAGTCCCTGGGTGTCCATCCTCATTCCAAGCCTTCCAACTCTGGCCTCTGCCCACACTACCCCCTCGCTGGCCCATGGAGACCACAAACCCACCTGCTCAGACCTGGGTTCCTCTGCTCCAGGGTTTATCTCAGTGCTGAGCAGAATGGTCTCTGTGTTTACTAAAGTTCATTTTACTGTGACTTTCCAAAAACCAAGGCGACAGTCCCTTACACAAGCTGAAGATGTGTTTCTGTGTTACGTCAACATCAACAGTCCAAGGCTACTACAGACAATGAGGATGAAGTCCTCTCTGTGTTATCACTGTGCCATGCTCAGCACTGGGGCCGCTGGGTCGGCTCCCCACAGCGCCAAGTGACCGCAGCAGGCAGGACACGGAGCCTGTTCCAGTCTGCAGGAGGCCAGTGTGATGGGAGAGGTAACCCACTCTCTCTGCAAGGTGCCTCTCAGAATTAGAACACAGAACTTGGGCTTATCTTCCATGAACTAGGCTGTCATGGCCACAAATGCCTTCAGGAGTAACCAGAATGTGTTCTGATTGGCTGGACAGAGATCTAGAGCTTCATGACAGCAGGAGGAGGAGGAGCTTATGGCTACTGGGGCGGGCCAGTGCATGGAGTCTGCCAGTGGCCGGGACCTTCAGGTCACTCTGCCCTGACTTTCCTCCTGCCCCAAGCCCTACACTGTGGTCCTGCTTCTCCTGGGATTTAAGGACCAGGGCACAGGGTCTCCTGCCTCTATGAGCAGCGCTTCTCCCCATGGCCAGGAACATCTTGTCTCTGTACTTACTGATGTTGATATTGAATGGTTTCCAGGGACTTCCCGTCCTCCAACTTGCAACATTTAGACTTGGTGAGAACATGTTCACAGATGGGCCCGCCATTGACTCACTATCCAATTTTCATATTCTGAAGCAAAAATAACTGTTTCCTGCTCAGTCTGTCAGAGCTGAGGTGAGAAGAGAAGGCTCTTCCTCCGTCAGACACTGGGTGGTGGCTCGGCAGGGCCACAGCCTTCAGACTCGAGGAGCCACGTGGCCTGTCTCTGGGGCCCACCCCAGCTATCTAAGAGGGACAGGAAGTGAGCAGTGGTGTTGGGAGCTCACAGACTCTCCTGGAGAGATGGGAAATCAGGCTTCTTGGGGTTGGTCGAGCTGGGAGTCAAGGTCTGGAGTCCACTGTGGAGCCCACCCGAGGACATGTCACAGCCAGCGGTATGGACCCTGAGCTCTGGGCTCCATCACTTCAGTCATGGCTGCCACCAGAAACCAGAAGTCAGTGTGCTCCAGACAGACACCTCGCACAGCCCTCTGCACCTCAGAAACTCCTTAAACTGAGTTTCCTTCCACCTAGGGGCCCACTGGCCCAGTGCAGATTACACGTTGCTCTATCTGAAGGGAAGTCAAGGGAGCACATTTCCGGCCTCCCTGTTAGAAGGGGATGATGGCTTCTCATCTGAGACAGTCCCTCACACACAGGAAGTGCGATTAGACAGTAAGGCAGCCGAAGCCACACCAGGAGCTCTGAGCAGGCAGGCCTTAGCCCGTCCCCGTCTCACTCACCCGAGATTCTGGGTGATTCCATTTCAGGGTCTTCTGGGGATCTCCTATTAAAAAGAACTGTTGATTACTTCTCAAGCACTCTCTGTTCTCGTGTCTCCTGGGCTCGTTGGTTTACAATCGGGGAGAAAATGACTCCGTTTAAGTCCCTAAAAAGAGCCTGATTAGAGAGATCTGTGTCAGGTCTCAGTGAAGCAAACTGACGAACTGGGTCTTAGGAATAACAAATATGGCGGGAGCTGCAGGCCTCAGGACGACAGCAGGGCCTAACGGCAGCCTCTCTGCACGCTCTGTGGTACGGTTTTTGGTACTATCTGTTTTGTGGCACTTATCATTACCTAAACTGTTTTCGTTTATGGGTTTTCTGGCCCTCTCCCTCCACGTCCCTCCACCCTGACTGGGCAGGGACTGAGTTGCTCCCTTCACTGCTGTAAGCTCAGAGCCCAGGTCAAGGCCACAGACAGGACCAGACTCCCAGGGTGGAATTCAGCGAACATGAGCTGAACACCAGCATCTCTAACTCTCTTCCAACCATGGATGCCCAAGACCAGTGTGTAGAGCCCGGGAATGGACGGATCTGGGAGCTGGTGAGGTAACTGGGGTCTCCTGCTTCCTCTTGTGCTCAGGCTTATGCCCATCCGTCCTTGTCGAAGAATTTGTCTCCTGCTTACAATCAGACATTTCTCAAGTGCCAGCAGAAGATTAGTTGATGGGGAGTCTCAGGTCTTTGGGAATATTGGGCACATTAATCACTCCACAGGGACCTGTCATTTCCTCTCAGCATCAAAGAGCTATAACCCGAGGAAGAAAACCCTGAAAAATCATAAATTTAAAACATACAGGGAGCTAAAGGGGTGGCATATGAACTAGAACAAATTTTGCCCCTGGAGTCCAAATTGGAGGCATTGATGGCTACCCAGTTTTCGAACAATATCAAATACTCAGTTAAAGAAATAGTACAAATATCCACATTAAATGCAACTGCCGTTGCTACTAAGAATGTCATGAGATTGTTTATTCCTATTGTATGCTCAGAAAACAGCCCACGCCCTACAAAAGCCTGTCGAGCTATTTGTAAGAAGGTGCACAGAAATATTAAATTAGGTGCCTGTTTATTCCTTCAAGCTCCCCACACGCCCTGCTTTGCATAGAAATTCTTCTCTAAGTTTTCCCACAATGTTTTCTTCCAAGTCAAACTTATTACACAGAGTCCTCGGGGCATTTCGTTTTCCTTTTTCTTTTTGTTTTCTTGACTCTGGTTAAATAAACTATTGATTTGTCTTCAAGGTAATTTAAGGGGGTGACACAGTTGTGATTTGATAAGTGCAGCTGTAATGCATTCAGAGTAAACACACTTTAGGGGTTCAATTAGGACTTCTTATTTTGTTAAAGAATCAAATCGACCAAACAATGACTGGCCACCGTGGGAATTTCTAGGCAGGCTGGATGGGCGATGACATTG